AACATACATCTTTGCTTACTTGTAGGGCATGACATGCACATGTTAGATTTTGATATGGCACTGCCAACCTGCCCTTTGGAATAACTGTACCATTGCACATTCCTATTAAGTGTATGAAAGTGCTTATATACCCTTGTCTAATGANCAAAAAAAAAAAAAAAAAAGGCTCACATGAAGAAGAAAGTGCATGAGGAAAAACAAAATACTCAGAAATCCCACTTGGTTGGTAGCTTAGTTTTTCATCATCCTGCTCACTCTTCCTCATCATTCGTTTGTTTTTGTTTAATGAGTTACGTATTATTTTTTAGTCATTACCTGTGGTGAGAAGGGAGAGGAGAGAAGGTGTGACAATAAAGAAAATGCACACCTCCAGCAAAGCACCTTGAGTCTGATGCGGGGACTTGAGGATCTGCTTCCCTCGGATCTACCACAGCACCAGGCTCTATGGAGCACATGCCGCCTGGAAATGGAAAACTTTCCAAGGCTTTACCTTCAACATAGCAATTTAAATGGTTTGTTCTGACTTCTGTGGCCATCAGTCAATTTTCATAATTATCAGTATCCATGATGATTTAATATAATCATAACCTCAGATTATTTTAATTTCATACATCAAATGTGACAAATATGGAAAAAACGTCCATTGCACAAGAGGAGTCTACCTAACATGGTATTCTTAGAAGCTTAGCCAACTTTAGATATACTTTGTATCTGAGATACAGAGTAGATTCTTCACATCAATCAGGTAAAAAAAAAACCTCACCTTATGTTTTCTTTAACCAGTCAGAATGGCCACAGGGACAGAACAACAGTTATGAAATGACAGGAGAAAAGTTCAGATAATGCTTTCCCTTTTGAACCATCATTTAGAGATCCTTCAAGTGTCCACAGAAAGATGTATGAATCCAACAATCAAAAGATCACAGTTTAGCTTTATATTTACAAAACGTTGCATTACTTTGGATCAAACTGGTGGGTCAGAGTGGGTAAGAAGAAAAGTGCCACCTCCTGAGTAGCAGCAAGGATGTCTGCGTAAGTGAATACCAACTCTCCAGACCTGCTAACTCAGTGACCTACCACAAAGGGTTCATTTTTCCCTTTGACCCTTAGGTCATTTACTGAACAGATAACAATTAAGTATTACTTAGAATACAGAAGTTACTTAAGTGCTTCACTGGACAGCAGTGAAGAGGACAGCAGTGAAGAACAGAAACTAAGTCCCTGCTCTCAAATTCTAGCTGGTGAGACAGACCACAAACAAGTATAAATATAATAAATAAGATGATTTCAGGTAGTGATTAAGTGTCACAAAGACAATAAAATAGGGGATGTGTTAGGCAGTGAGTTGGTGGCAAGGAGAAAACTTTATTAGATAGGTAACTAAGAAAGGTTTTCTTATGAGGTGACAGCTGAACTAGACTTTCAATAAGACAAGGTCAATCATGCAAGATCTGGGAGAACGATGTTTCGGGCTGAGGGAATAGCAAAAGTGAAAGAATGAGCTTAGAGTGTTTGACAAAAAGGAGAGAGGCCAGTGGGGCTAGAGCAGTGATTGAGGGGGAGAAAGAGAAATGAAGGTAGAAGAAGCCAGATCATACAGGGCCACAGCAGCCACGGAAGAGTCTGAATTTGATCCTAGGAATAGTGAAGAGCCATTATAGGGCTTAAACAAGAGAGTGATATGACCTGATACAAGTTTTTTTTTTGGTATCATTAATATATAATCACATGAGCAACACTGTGGTTACTAGATTCCCCCCATTATCAAGTCCCCACCACATATGCCATTACAGTCACTGTCCATCAGAACAGTAAGATGCTAGAGTCATTACTTGTCTTCTCTGTGCCAAATTGCCTTCCCCATGCACCCACCTCCACATTATGTGTGCTAATTATAATGCTCCTTATTCCTCTTCTCCCTCCTTTCTCACCCATCTTCCCCAGTCCCTATCCCTTTGGCAACTGTTAGTCCATTCTTGGGTTCTGTGAATCTGCTGCTGTTTTGCTTCTTCAGTTCTTACGATCCACAGATGAGTGAAATCATTTGGTACCTGTGTTTCTCCTCCTGGCTTATTTCACCAAGCATAATACCCTCTAGCTCCATCCATGTTGTTGCAAAATGGTAGGATTTGTTTTCTTATTACGGCTGAATAATATTCCATTATGTATATGTACTTCTTCTTTATCCATTCATCTACTGATGGACACTTAGGTTGCTTCCATTTCTTGGCTATTGTAAATAGTGCTGTGATAAACATAGGGGTGGATATGTCTTTTTGAAACTGGAATCCTGCATTCATAGGGTAAATTCCTAAGTGGAATTCCCAGGTCAAATGGTATTTCTATTTTTAATTTTTTGAGGAACCTCCATACTGCTTTCCACAATGGTTGAACTAGTTTACATTCCCACCAGCAGTGTAGGAGGGTTTCCCTTTGTCCACTTCCTTGCCAGCATTTGTTTTTCCTAGTCTCTTCTATGTTGCCCATTTTAACTGGTATGAGGTGGTATCTCATTGTGGTTTTAATTTGCATTTCCCTGATAATTAGTGATGTGGAGCATCTTTTCATGTGCCTGTTGGCCATATGAATTTCTTCTTTGGAGACGTATCTGTTCATATCCTCTGCCCATTTTTTAATAGGGTTATTTGCTTTTAGGGTGTTGAGGTGTGTGAGTTCTTTATATATTTTGGATGTTAACCCCTTGTCGGATAAGTCATTTGCAACTATATTCTCCCGTACTAAAGGATGGCTTTTTGTTCTGCCGATGGTGTCCTTTGCTATACAGAAGCTTTTTAGCATGATGTAGTCCCACTTGTTCATTTTTTATTTTGTTTCTCTTGCCTGAGGAGATGCGTTCAGGAAAAAGTTGCTCATGTTTATATTCAAGAGAATTTTGCCTATGTTTTCTTCTAAGAGTTCTTTGGTTCATGACTTACATTCAGGTCTGTGATCCATTTTGAGTTTACTTTTGTGTATGGGGTTAGACTGTAATCCAGTTTCATTCTCTTGCATGTAGCTGTCCAGTTTTGCCAACACCAGTTATTGAAGAGGCTGTCATTTCCCCATTGTATATCCATGGCTCCTTTATCGTATATTAACTGACCATATACGCTTGGGTTTATATCTGGGCTCTCTAGTCTGTTCCATTGGTCGCTGGGTCTGTTCTTCTGTCAGTATCAAATTGTCTTGATTACTGTGGCTTTGTTTAGAACTTGAAGTCAGAAGCGTAATCCCCCCAGCTTTATTCTTCCTTCTCAGGATTGCTTTGGCTATTTGGGGTCTTTTGTGGTTCCATATTAATTTTAGAACTATTTGTTTCAGTTCGTTGAAGAATGCTGTTGGTATTTTGATAGGGATTGCATTGAATGTGTAGATTGTTTTAGGCAGGATGGCCATTTTGACAATATTAATTCTTCCTATCCATGAGCACAGGATGTGTTTCTATTTATTGGTACTTCTTTAATTTCTCTCATGAGTGTCTTGTAGTTTTCAGAGTATAGGTCTTTCACTTCCTTGGTTAGGTTTATTCCTAGGTTTTTTATTCTTTTTGATGCAATTGTGAATGGAATTGTTTTCCTGATTCCTCTTTCTGCTAGTTCATTGTAGGTATATAGGAATGCAACAGATTTCTGTGTATTAATTTTGTCTGATACAAGTTTTTAAAAAAATCTCTGGTGGTTCTGTGGGGCATGGACTGCAGCAGAGCAAGAATGGCAGTCAGGTGATCAACAGAATTTATCAGTTGAAACTGTCTATGTGAGAGTTGATAAAGGCTTGAACTAGAGTGGTGATGGGAACTGCAAAGAATGGTTAGATTCAGCATACATTTCGAAGGTAAACTGACATAACTTTCCAATGGATTAGATATGGGTGGGATAGTGAGGGAAAAAGAGAGAAATCAAAGATTACTCCTATGCTGGGACTTGAGCAGCTAGAGGGACGGTGGTGCCACGAACTAACAGGGGGCACACTGCGGGAAAAACAAGTTTGGAGTGGAGAGTGGGAGAAATCAAAGGTTCTGTTTTGGGCATGTGTTAGGTTTGGAGATCTGAGAATAGTATAAGCTGGGGTGTAAACAGCATGTAGAAGGGCTGAAAAAACCTACAGGGCAGGGTAAGATCAGTTGGAGAGAAACTGAAGACAAGAGCCTGGGACACGCCAAGACTGACTGGGTGAGAAGAAGAGTAGCCAGCAGAAGAGGTGACCGGGGGCACCCAGTGTAGGAGGATATTCAAGAGAGCGCACAGTCATAGAAATGGGGAGGAGAAAGTGTTTTAAGAAGGAAGGACAACAAACTGGGTTAAATGCTGCTGGAGGATTGAGTAAGAAAAGGATAAAAACCTCACAATTGGATTTAACAGGAAGTATATTTAAATAAAGACATAAGAAAATATGAACTAAAAAAGGCATTTGATCTTGCTGAGGCTATCACTTTTAAAGCTGAAAAATTTTAAAGGAGAGTCTCAGCAAAATTCCTGAGGTATGCTTATTTATCAGGCTAAGTACATTTTTGCTTCCCTTCTCAAAGAAGAGGATGGAAGCAATGACTGGAGAGTGTCCTTCCGAGTCTTCCATTCCTATCCTGTAGAGAGGGGAGTCTTCCTTGGCAATAGTGTGATGGTATTCAGAATTCACATGGAAAGAGGAGTGGCTCAGCCCCAAAGACTAAAAAGTTTACTTGCTCCACTTGATTGTGATGCATGAAAGTCCTAACAGACTCATGTCTAAACGAACTCTAAGCTAGAATTTTCCTTATCTAACACAAGGGCCCAAGTGAAAGGAAAAAACTGCCCGAAGGAGGAGACCACAACCATGCCCTTGGTTGGAGAGCATCTTTCTGGCACACTTTCTTTTCCAAGGCTGCAAACTCTCACTGTCAGACTCCAGCCTGCATCCCACTCCGGTGGTATAACTAAGGAAAAAACTAAGGAAAGTGATCTAAGTCCCGCCCACAGCTGTGCCAACTTGTCTCTGTCTCCTCCTCACTTCCCACCCCTTACCTGGGTCATTTTGTCCACAGAGACTGGAATTCCGTCGATGGTGAGAGGTGGCAGCTCTGAGTTAACCTCCTGTGGCGCAGGGGCGTGTTCTGCCAGGGCAGACTCCAGGTCTTCCAGAATCATGCTCTTGTACTTACGCACCTGCAGGGAATTAAGGGCAGAAGTAAACAAGATGCCCAACAACCAGGGAGGGTTGGTGCCAGGCAACTAGAGAGTGGGTGGGGCTGGCCTCCCTCAGCCACTGCAGTGCCCTAAGAACAAACATTTCTACAACTAGCAGACAAAAATACCCGCTGGCCTCAAAGACACCACACTGTGCAGAATTAAATGAAAAGATGATGAAATTATAGGTAACAAAAGTAGAAAGGGGCCAGTGGAAAAAGTTTTACAGAAATACTGCTTGTCAGTTAAAATCACGTGTTCTCAGTCAATGCTGGACCTGTCATCTGATCCAGAGCTAAAAGGAATGGCAGTCATTAGTCTGCACTTCCCAGGCCATCTGATGAAACCTAACTATGGCAGTTAATCACCAAAATCATTTCCAAAATCACCAAGTACTTACGTGTCTAAACTCTCAGCAATCTATTCAAAACTGCCACTATACTTCTCTAAAGCCAGACTACCAAACAGGAGAGTCAAGTGCACAAGAGGCTGGACTAAAAGGCATCAGAGAAATAAAACAAGAGGTGTTCATTGTAGTTGGGTGTCAAAGGTGCCACTATCGGGAAGGCCCAGGGACAAAGAGAGCCCCACAGGTCAAAGTTTTCCTCCTTCCTGGTGACAGAGGTGAACTTCAAATCCATGACGCTTCTGCAGCTCTGACAAGCCCAGGTCTGACCGGGTTATTGTTTCTGTGACTCCACTTCTTATACTGCCAGTGAAAGGTCTCTCAAAAGACAGAGAACTTGACAGCAGCACATTTGTACATGCACACATTCTTCTATCATGAGCAGCAATGGCAGACAGAAACTGGATCCTACAACCACCGAGAATGCATTCATTCACTTACAAGAATACACAAGGGGGATGAGGACACCTTTGGGAGTAACAAAGAAGCCATGGAGTTATAGAAATGTGATAAGATGAAATAGGAAATTAACTTGTTTTCATGGCTCAAGCCATCTTAGAAAAAAAGAGAAGAAAAATTTAGGTTTGCCCAGAAATTACAATGCTTGAGTGCTGGGTTGTCTGCTAAGTGGACTGAACTCTCAATAAGAATACACTTCCTTGTAAGTATCTTGTTTAGAAGATTAAAAAAAGAAGATTCCATACTCTTACCTCAAGCATGTGGGAAAGAAGAAATTACTGTGGGCCAAGCAGTACAACTTTTGCAGTTACAGAACCTTCCAGATAGGTCAATAATGGAGGGGATGAAAGAAAAACAGTGGAAACATGTGGAATCATTATTAGTCAAGAGATTCAGTTTTACCCTAGCTTCTCATAAAAAAGAAAGTTTCAAAAACTATTACCAATATACTTACTATAACAAAAACAGCTGGTCTTGTCATGGCAACTTTAAGGATTTATATTTTCTGCTTTCTAGGTTTCTTATAAGCCTAGGCTCTGGTCTTTGAACTTTACATGTATCAGGTTAAATCATTGTATTAGTATATAGGCCAGAGTAAGAGTGAATGATAATAGTATAGAAATAAATTTCACTGTGCTACAAACACCTGGCATTCAAAGACAGGAAATCATTAGATTATTACTATTACATTACTAGCTAGTTCCAGCTCATTTCAGCCATTTTTATGAGTCAGTAAAATTCTGAATATCCAGGCATTTGCTATCAGTACTATATAATCCCTTCAAAATATCTTGAGTTTAAAAAAAAAACAAATGTTGGTTGAACATCCTTCATGGTAATTACAACAAAACAACTTCAGGTGTGACCACAGTATTTCTAAAGTTATATAAGTAAAGTTAAGTAACTTTCCCAGAGTTATAACACTAGTACTTCAATTCTATCTGATCTATCAATTCTGAGATGCCTATTTGTTCACCTTTATGAGTCCTCTGAAATTGGGACACTTCTTAAAATTACTGTAAGCCAGCAATTTACAGTATGGTTGTCACTGCCTGCACATACATGAACATGGCTGTTATCCCTGGGGCATGACCACAACTGCTTGCCTTTTTTAACCAACAATCTATTGAGCGTCATTTGAGATAGGAATGTGGATCTTGGATGTTGTCTGATAACTTCCCCAGTGATCTTCCTGTAAGATCAAGAAGCACTGGCATCAAACTTATCACCACTTAGAAAAAAGTCTGAGACAACAGCAGAGCACTTCTGAAAGAAATGAGGCACCAGCCATGCTCTTGATGGCACAGAGCACATTATCACATGAAACCACAGACAACGATGACTTTGACACACAAGAAGCAATTCAGAAGAGTTGGACTCTGGATATGAATAAGTTTTAGGAACATCAATCTATTTCACTTATATTTTCATTTTTATGTATACACAAAAACAATATGATTAAAGTCTAAGTAATCCTGAAAGAGTTCTTTTAATAAGTATAAAATAAAAATTCTAAGTGATAAGCATTGTGTCTGTCAGTTTTTTCTTTCTTCATGGTATGTAAATAATCCATCTTATAATTAATGGTGTCAGACATCATAAAACACAGGTTGGTTTGTTTTCCAACTTGCACCATCTATTCCAAAAACCATAGCTTAATTTGTCACTTCACACCGATATGTCACTGTCAACTAACTGGTTTCACAAATAAAACCACTTAAAAATAAAACCAGGTAGTCTATCAATCTCTCTTCCCCCAATTCATCCTGTATACCACTGCCATTTAAATTTCCAAAACACTGACTAATTATGATCAAATACCATTTACTGAATATTTACTATGTGGCAGGCACTGTAAATATTGTCTCAATTAATCCTTACATAATTTTGCAAGGAAAATACTATTGTAATACCCATTTTGTAGAAAATAAAATTGAGGCTTAATAAACTTAAGTAACTTCCCCAAATCATATAGGAATATAGATGGAAATCAAACTCATTTTTATCTAGCTCCAAAGCCTGTATGTTCAGCTACTTCATAGTCACTTATCTTTTTTCTCAAAAATACTCCTACAGTTCCCACTTCTTACAGGATGAAGTCCAAACTTCTTAGTCCAGCATTTCAACCTTTCCAATCGTTCTCTACTTTTCCATAACTCCTCCCACAGGGCCACTAGATACAGGTGTGCCTGCCTAGTCCTACAGACTATGTGAACGACACCCTCTTGAGTTCCCAGTGTACAGCCCACAGAGTCCTACTGGACAACTGTGTTCACCTTTCTCCCTCTTTAGCTGGCCTATCTCCTCATTAACTTTCACATCTAGCAAGTTCTTCTCTATCTCTGGGTCTTTAATTCTGCTTTTTATCCAAATATTATTCACTTTTCAAGGCCCAACTCAATTTCCACTTCCACTGAGAAAATCTCCCAAGAGTTCTTACCATAATTCTCTTATTCCTCTCAATTCCTACAGACTCAAATAATCATGTGTCACTCATATTGTTATATACACTGTGCACAACCAGTGTATGACATCACTGAGCACAGGAACTGAGTCTTTTGTTTTTTATTTTAACATGTATTATGAAATATTTCGTATATTCAGACAGGTACAGATAATACATTAACATTCTTATAATTACCAGAGATGGAGAATGTTTAGGGTGTTTACAGGGGCCATTAGAGTTCTTGGCACAGAAGGTGCTTGTTGAAGATTTAGGAATTGGCTACTACAACCATAAGGTCAATAGGCCTTCGGTCAGGTTGCAGAAACAGTGCCAGAAAAGATACCATAATTCTCTTATATACTTGAAGCTTTTCTGCATAGAAGAGGAATCTTCAGAAGGTCTCACAAAAGATTTTTAAAATTATTTTTTACCTATGAGCTCCTCTGAAATTAAAAAATACATTGTTATCTGAGGTGTGTGACAAAGAGCTGCCCAGTGCAGAGCTACCCTCAGAACTGTGACTGTGCTGCACAGCTGGCACCAAGCCAGCCACAGGCCATGGCCCAGCTCGTTGTGTTGCTTCATCCTGTTCTCTCTCTAGCCCCACTGTCAGCCTCTTTCCTCTCCTGCCTCAGTCCAGATCTTTAGTATTCCCCTCTGCCCCTGGATCTCTAGTCTTGAACCCTGAAACCTCAAAGGACTTAGATGGAATCCTTATCTCATACTTTACATCTAACAGTGTTAGCTATTTGTTGAATAAACAAATAGATAAGCAATAGGGCTCTTACTTTACTACTTTTTAAATTCCCTTCCACATGTATAACTTGAAGCCATTTTTAAAAACTTATATAAATAAGTTAATGACAGAACAAGAAATCATAAGCAGCTCCAGAGTCAACTTATCTACAGGAAGATAGAATTAAACAAAGGCAGAAGGATGGTGATAACCTCAGAGCCACCTCTTGCCTAGGTGACTGTGACTAATTTCTGTACCTGCAGAACTGGTTAGTCATATCTAGTACATTCTCATGTAAATGCTATGCATTATTGACTCTGAGGAAGGAGCTCTACCTTCAGAAACTCCCATGGTTCTTCTGAAAAAAAGAGATGCAAATTCTCTCTCTGTTCCTTAAGAAAACACTTCTAGGCCTATTCCTACAAAGCTCCCAAGGGTATGTGATATGGCAGTAAGCCATGGAGAGAATGCTGTCAGCATGCAGAAACTCTGAAACCTACCATTTGCCAATGATTTTCATGCCAGCTCTCTGTCATTTGATATATAGGGGATGACAATCAACTTTAATTAATTTCTACTGCTCCCCAGTGAGGTAGGTATTATCCTTAGTTTATACGTAAGGACACTGAGCCACATACCAGAAAAATCAATGTGGAGAACCACTCAAAAAATCAGACCTTAAAAACAGTTTCACAGACGTGGAGTTTGTAGCTACATAAGCCCACTCTAGTTAATACTAATTCATGGGCAGTACTGAATTAGCCTGTCAAAATGTTGATAACTATGTTTTACTATGGGAGCCACACCCTCACTAAAAATGATACTTGAAAGGTCCAGAACACTGAATGGAGTTGCTCTGGAGGTCTTTTAACTTGCTTTGTTTTAAAGAGCAGAGGGTTAAAAAGACAAAAGTTTTAAACTGCAGAGAACAT